ATTAATAGATATAGCCTGAAACGGTAACACCTAAGGTGTGTTGTCTTCTTTAAAATCATATAATCTATATTCTATACTAATATCATAAAGAGGTAAATTTTGTGAGGTTGTAGAGGGTAATCTCTGGTTCTACTGAAGCGATTTAGATGTAATTTGGTAAGAAGATAGTTTGAGCCCCTGGGAAGGACATAGGACTCTTTATCCTGGAAATCATCCCTTAAGGGGATGAAAGTTTGCTTGGGGAATCAACATGGCGAACGAACCTAGTCTAATATACTCGTAGGTATAAATATAGCGTGTCTCTCGTCCGAAACGGCTTGACAGATTTTAATGATTTTTTTTGTATATTTGGTAAGTAGGTATGAGAATACGTCGTAAAGTATTTTTCACCCTTCTACTCCCACTCACCATCTTTTTAATAGCTATTTTAGTATTTTTGTATGAATAACATAAAGCCAGAGTTTTTGTTGTAGATTGAACGCGGGCGTAGCCGCGGGTTCTACTAGTAGGTATTGTATATAAATGTTTTGTAAACATTTTTTTACTGTTAGCGAGCATATTACGAGCAGATAGATAGGGGCGAAGAGTAGATATATTGGATAAGCAATTCCGAAGATTAAATATGAAATAACATTTTCACTGTCATCTATACATATTTATCTATACATATAATAAAATTCTAACTAAGTCGAATCTGTACATTAAATATTTTTTGGAAAATCTCATTGAAATAGACATTATTATCGATACAGATGCCGAATCTGTAGTTTTTAGAATAATTGTCTGTCCTTCTGTCTGGGAACGCGTGACTAGAAAACCACTGGATAGATTTTGATGATAGGTGGTTATCCGGGTCAACATATAGGATACTTTTCACCGCGGAAAATTGTCTCATTTCTGAGAAAAAATACAAAAACTGTAATATAAGAGTATACTAATATGTAAAATCTAAGAATTAGGTTTTTGGTTATCTGAACGCGGGCGCAGCCGCGGTCAATGCTAGTTGCTAATAAAACATTATTATTTAAAATTATGCACCGTATGGTTTTGTTTCATGGTTTTTAAAACGGTATTTTAACAAATTATATTTCACACTATAAATCGAAATTATTCGCTTTATGCATTAGTTATATTGTTTGCATTTGAATAAAAACAACTAGACGATAATATCTCAAGGTCTACAATATTTTCCAACATTTCGAATTCAATATTCATTTCGACGTCAATCAAACCAGACAGCTAGCGTTAGTTTTCTGTAGACTTTGGATTGCATTAAAGCCATTAAAGCAAAGAACTGAACTGACTTTGGATTTTATCAAAGTTTTAAGGTTTTTTTGTTTCACTAATTGTAATATGAATATAATATTTCATACTTCCTCCTTTTTTTGTCGCTTATTTGTAACGAGCAAAATCTTCAACCGAAACTACTTTAAAAATATATTTAACTAGCGGCTCACCCTCGCTTCGCTCGGGTTCACCTCTAGAAAAGCACAAACAGATATATCCCACGGGAACCGTTCATTTTTCTGGGATGAAAAGTAACCTGTTGTTTGACCGGCAATATAAGGTATGCCAAATTTTACTAAATTAGGTGCGTAAGTTGTTGTGTACTAAGCTGTATAAGTTGTTAAAGTTTTTTAACTATCCCACGGGAACTCTTTAATTTTCCGGGATAAAAAGTATCTAAGATGTTGCCCGGGGATATAAGGTACCATCATGCAAAATTTCATTTAAATCGGTCCAATAGATTCGGAGGTTAGCCCGTACAAACAGAAAAACAGCTCGCTCGGGTTCGTCCATACCTACGAATATGTTGTATTATCTCTTTAACTATTTGTCCAAATTATTTGCAGTAAAAGGGAAAAGTCTTTTGTTTTAAACATTTTAGACGATAAATTTACTTATTTTGATAAGAATTCATAATTGTTGATAATATGACCAATAAACATGACCTACCGATTTAAATTATTTTTATAATATAAAAATCTACTTTTTGTAACTTAAATATAAAAGTTAGACACATGCTATCGCTGAATTTTTTGTAGGCATTATTAAGCTCTACAACTTTTCTCTAGAACATAATCATATATATCTCTCATCGTTAAGGCAGCGTTCGTAAGAAACGTTTTCGTTCGACCGTTTTTTCTCCGACTTACTTTGCAAATCCGACTACCATGAAAAAGCATTTTCATTCTTCAGGTTAATATATAGCCTATGACACTCAGAAATAACGTGGCTTTCTATTGGTAAAAGAATTTTGAAAATCGGTTCAGTAGATCCAGAGATTACCCCCTACAACGTCACAAACTCACAAACTCACAAACCCACAAACTCACAAGATCACAAACTTTACCTCTTTATAATATTAGTATAGATTATAGTTTTAAAAAAAACTATAGAACATGTTCTTTTTCATTACAGCCAACTGTAATGTTTGGGATTTGTCAAAACTTCGAAGTTTTTCTACTAGGCATTGAAAAATTTCACCATTTCCTGTGCTGGGAGATAGGAGTTAGATAGTAGAATTCTTTAATGCGGCTTTTCTCGCGTAGTTTTTTTCTCCTAAGGGTTGTAGGGTTGTGTCAGAAGAACTACAACCATCTATAAATAAACGTAAAAGAATTTTTCAAATTTAACTGGTAATTCTAAGATATAGGTACCTAAGCGCATTCAGACAAACTATCTCATCAGCAGAATAATATTATTTTACATTTATTATTATAAATAAAACTATCTTTTCGGATTATTTCGCGGATTTATTTTGAATTTTGGTTCCCGAAGTTTCGAATACTTTACAGCAATCATGGTCACGGGAAAGACTAAGGACCTCTCAAACACATACTTGCTACACACAGTGCCTACCCACTACATATTTAACAAAAATGATTTCAAAAATTCAAAAATTGCACTAAAGTACATTACAATATTTGTTGGTTTTTATTTCTAAACATTTTTTTTAATTGCAATTAAATTTTATTATAATTAAATATAGCAATATTATTAATTTAATTTTAGCTCTTATTATAAATATTACCATATGTATTATAAGTGATGATGATGATGATGTTCTCCTAGCCGATTTCGGCCACGGCGGCCAATCTTAATGAGATAAGCCAACTGCGCAGGAGATATTATAGTGCTCAAGTGTACGCGCAGACACAAGTGCACTCTCTATTCCTATCACTCTCATACTCCGGTGGGACGACCACTCGACACGACCGGTGAGAGTTAAGGCGCAGGACCGACGGCTTTACGTGCTCTCCGAGGCACGGGGGTGAAACACCGCCAACTTCCCAACTCCGGGCTGTTACTGAGACTTACTATACAGGAAGACTCAATAACTAAACTTGGCCCGACCCGGGACTCGAACCCAGGACCTCCGGGTGTGCAGCCGTACATGCTAGCCGCTACACCACCGAGGCAGTTGAGTTTGTATTATAAGTATAACCATAAAGAATAGTAGAAAATTAAAAATATTAATTATTTATCTAAGCAATATTATTGTTTTATATGTAATTTAAAAGATTGCTCTATTTAATTATAATACATATAAAAAAAAATTAATATAAAATTCTCGATATACCTATATGTATAGGTACGATATGTGAATACTGAATAATAATAAATCTAATCTAACAACCCGCTACTGCCTTATATATTATGCCTTATATTTATTAATCACTGCGCCAGAAGTTCTTTAAGTGTTTACTTCAAATGCATATATACATAATACATACATTGAAGTATGACGTAAATAAAATTTAATTGTCTTACACAAATTGGATATGTCAAGAGTAGCGTGAAGCGTCATACAATTTACTTAGCGGTGGCACAGTTTAAAAATCCATGCAGTAGACCCATTGATATTAACGGATGGCTGTTAAGTGCAAGGCTTGTCAAAAAATACTAATTTTCATTGACGAATGGTTTCTAAGTTAAAGTTCTATAGTGCCATCTCCTGGCAAGTTATAGTTATACTCTTCAACCCATTGATAAACAAAAACTCAAGTTACATAATAAGCTTCTCAAAAGTGTCCTCAAAAAGATATGCACAATTCGAAATTAAATTGTGTTTTTATTTACAAATTTCTTTTGTTCATTGCTTTTCGGATGAAAAAATTAAAATGCAGGTTGTTTCGTTTAAAAAAGTACTTTATGTGGTGTGCGTAAAATCGAATTTGTGTTTAGACAATTAGAACTTTTGATTTTAGAATTTTTATTCTTTAGTTTGACTTAAAGTGTCGACGACATTTTTTAAGAGATATTTATTAGGAAATGTATATCTATTTTTATTTTTTTTATATATCAATGTAAAAAAAAACACTAAGTAGGTATAACAGTCGGGTGCGCTTCACCCAAGTCTTAACCCTCATGCCCCGAACGATTGCCCTGTCTAGAGGCTTTCTATAGACGACTGTATAGTTTAGTAGACTGTGGTGGTGGCGAGTGAAGTAATTGCCCCCACTTTCCTATGTTAGATTATTGTAGAAATGTTTATGAGTTTTCCGTGTTTAACCACTATTTTCAACCTTTCTTCTACTTACTGTATAATATGTAAAATGCAAATTCTTCGCGTGATGTTTTATAGCAACGATTATTTTTATTATGAACCAGTTAGCAGCATGTGGCGTTATAATTGAAAGTTATATTTTTGGGCTGATGGTGAAAAGTTAGAAACAATTTTTTTTAAATAATTTCTTGGGGAATATTTATCATTATGGTAATATTTTATCTATTTTATGTCTACATGTTTATTATAATGTTAATTTAATTTTAATTTTGTACTAATAATACAAACAGGCAATAGCAATTGAAACTCAGGAGCTCCAAAGTCTTACGAAAAAAAGAAAGAAAGAAAGAGAAAAAAAAAAGAGCTACGAAAAAAGTGAACAAACATATACTAAATTTATTCCAAATCGGTCCGTTTTAGTTTAAAACAAACATACAAACTTTCACAATTATATCAGTAATAATTAGATTACAAATAAATATTTTTCTAGGTGAGCGACGTGCGGGGGTGCGGATATCATCTGGCGACGTTGCTGGGTTTGTTGCCCGCTCAAGTGATCAACGTGTACCTCGGCTCCACGCTGCGATCAATGCACGACGTGTTGCACGAACCGCACTTGACCGGATACATTGTGTTCGCTTTTCAGGTGACATATTCTTTCACTGTACTTATTTTGATGTGGTTTATTGTATTTAATTTAGTATATATACTTAACTATTTATGAAAAAATAAGGGTTTTGTTGCCGACCATTTTTAGTCTTTGAAGTAAAACTTCTTTACGCATGCTTGACTTGGGGAGTAAGCTGGCGAATGCGTAACGAGATCGTTACGAAAAGTGTGATCGGGCGAGGCGAACGTTAGTTGCCATGGTAACCGTTGTTATTGTTTGACAAATGATATATATTTATATATTTTTTATTGGGGAAACAAACAGTGCTTACAACTATTTAAACAACAGCTTATATAAATGGTTCATAGACCAATAAAGTTTCCACTGATAAGTTAATCATATAGAGCGGTGAAGTTAAACAAGTTATTCATATTATATTCTTTCCTTAAATGATATTTAATACATGTATATATTTTTATTATATGATTTAATATATCATTTTAATATGCCTAATATGCGTTATTTAATTATTTTTATTAAAATTTATCATTCCTTTTACAAACAGAGAGTTGTGACATACAGGGTGAAATCTTTAGCTATTTTTGTTCTGTTACGCCAAAGAAGTATAACTTCTTACGTGCGTACATAAGTACATACACATGTCAGTGAACTTAGCAGATCATTGTCCAGCAGATCAAAAAAAAAAGTGAGTTCTATTCGCATGCACGAGAGTTCTATAGTTCCTGATACTTTTTAGAAATAGTTCTGGCGTTTTTACCTTAAAAAAAGTCAATTGACAAAATGATCTGCTAACTTCCCGTAGCAGATCATTTTGCAGAAAATAAAAAACAAATGTGAGTTCTTCGCGCAAGGAGCTGAGTTCTACAGTTCCTGATACTTTTCAGGAATAGTTCTGGACTCTCAGCCAAGTTCCAGCAGATCATATCCGAATTTTTGAAAAGTCAGAACATACCATTTTTATTGTTTCAAATTATTGTAAAAGGCTAGAACTCTTTCGCTTATCACCGATCTGTATCAGAACTCTAATATAGAACTCGATTCGAGTCCAGAACTCACGTCCAAGTGCCAGCAGAGCATACCTGAAGGTTGGAAAATATGAAAAAACAAACTATTTTCATTGTTTTAAATTATTTAGAAAGGCTAGAAGTTAGAACTCTTTCGTTTATAACAGATCTGTACCAGAACTCTAATATAGAACTCGATTCGAGTCCAGAACTCACGTCCAAGTGCCAGCAGAGCATACCTAAACGTTGGAAATTATGAAAAAAAAAACCTATTTTTATTGTTTTAAATTATTTAGAAAGACTAGAAGCTAGAACTCTTTCGTTTATAATAGATCTGTACCAGAACTCTAATATAGAACTCGATTCGAGTCCAGAACTCACGTCCAAGTGCCAGCAGAGCATACCTAAACGTTGGAAATTATGAAAAAAAAAACCTATTTTTATTGTTTTAAATTATTTAGAAAGACTAGAAGCTAGAACTCTTTCGTTTATAATAGATCTGTACCAGAACTCTAATATAGAACTCGATTCGAGTCCAGAACTCACGTCCAAGTGCCAGCAGAGCATACCTAAACGTTGGAAATTATGAAAAAAAAAACCTATTTTTATTGTTTTAAATTATTTAGAAAGGCTAGAAGCTAGAACTCTTTCGTTTATAATAGATCTGTACCAGAAATCTAATATAGAACTCGATTCGAGTCCAGAACTCACGTCCAAGTGCCAGCAGAGCATACCTGAAGGTTGGAAAATATGAAAAAACAAACAATTTTCATTGTTTTAAATTATTTAGAAAGGCTAGAAGCTAGAACTCTTTCGTTAATAACAGATCTGTATCAGAACTCTAATATAGAAATCGGTTCTAGTCCAGAACTCACGTCCAAGTGCCAGCAGAGCATACCAGAACGTTGGAAAATATGAAAAAAAAAACCTATTTTTATTGTTGTAAATTATTTAGAAAGGCTAGAAGCTAGAACTCTTTCGTTTATAATAGATCTGTACCAGAACTCTAATATAGAACTCGATTCGAGTCCAGAACTCACGTCCAAGTGCCAGCAGAGCATACCTAAACGTTGGAAATTATGAAAAAAAAAACCTATTTTTATTGTTTTAAATTATTTAGAAAGGCTAGAAGCTAGAACTCTTTCGTTTATAATAGATCTGTACCAGAACTCTAATATAGAACTCGATTCGAGTCCAGAACTCACGTCCAAGTGCCAGCAGAGCATACCTGAAGGTTGGAAAATATGAAAAAACAAACAATTTTCATTGTTTTAAATTATTTAGAAAGGCTAGAAGTTAGAACTCTTTCGTTTATAACAGATCTGTACCAGAACTCTAATATAGAACTCGGTTCGAGTCCAGAACTCACGTCCAAGTGCCAGCAGAGCATACCTAAACGTTGGAAATTATGAAAAAAAACCTATTTTTATTGTTTTAAATTATTTAGAAAGACTAGAAGCTAGAACTCTTTCGTTTATAATAGATCTGTACCAGAACTCTAATATAGAACTCGATTCGAGTCCAGAACTCACGTCCAAGTGCCAGCAGAGCATACCTAAACGTTGGAAATTATAAAAAAAAAACCTATTTTTATTGTTTTAAATTATTTAGAAAGGCTAGAAGCTAGAACTCTTTCGTTTATAATAGATCTGTACCAGAACTCTAATATAGAACTCGATTCGAGTCCAGAACTCACGTCCAAGTGCCAGCAGAGCATATCAGAACGTTGGAAAATGTGAAAAAAAAACTATTTTCATTGTTTTAAATTATTTAGAAAGGCTAGAAGCTAGAACTCTTTCGTTTATAATAGATCTGTACCAGAACTCTAATATAGAACTCGATTCGAGTCCAGAACTCACGTCCAAGTGCCAGCAGAGCATACCTAAACGTTGGAAATTATGAAAAAAAAAACTATTTATATTGTTTTAAATTATTTAGAAAGGCTAGAAGCTAGAACTCTTTCGTTAATAACAGATCTGTATCAGAACTCTAATATAGGACTCGGTTCGAGTCCAGAACTCACGTCCAAGTGCCAGCAGAGCATACCAGAACGTTGGAAAATATGAAAAAAAAACCTATTTTTATTGTTTTAAATTATTCAGAAAGGCTAGAAGCTAGAACTCTTTCGTTTATAATAGATCTGTACCAGTACTCTAATATAGAACTCGATTCGAGTCCAGAACTCACGTCCAAGTGCCAGCAGAGCATACCTGAAGGTTGGAAAATATGAAAAAACAAACAATTTTCATTGTTTTAAATTATTTAGAAAGGCTAGAAGTTAGAACTCTTTCGTTTATAACAGATCTGTACCAGATCTCTAATATAGAACTCGATTCGAGTCCAGAACTCACGTCCAAGTGCCAGCAGAGCATACCTAAACGTTGGAAATTATGAAAAAAAAAACCTATTTTTATTGTTTTAAATTATTTAGAAAGGCTAGAAGCTAGAACTCTTTCGTTTATAATAGATCTGTACCAGAACTCTAATATACAACTCGATTCGAGTCCAGAACTCACGTCCAAGTGCCAGCAGAGCATACCTAAACGTTGGAAATTATGAAAAAAAAATTATTTTTATTGTTTTAAATTATTTAGAAAGGCTAGAAGCTAGAACTCTTTCGTTTATAATAGATCTGTACCAGAACTCTAATATAGAACTCGATTCGAGTCCAGAACTCACGTCCAAGTGCCAGCAGAGCATACCTAAACGTTGGAAATTATGAAAAAAAAAATTATTTTTATTGTTTTAAATTATTCAGAAAGGCTAGAAGCTAGAACTCTTTCGTTTATAATAGATCTGTACCAGTACTCTAATATAGAACTCGATTCGAGTCCAGAACTCACGTCCAAGTGCCAGCAGAGCATACCTGAAGGTTGGAAAATATGAAAAAACAAACAATTTTCATTGTTTTAAATTATTTAGAAAGGCTAGAAGTTAGAACTCTTTCGTTTATAACAGATCTGTACCAGATCTCTAATATAGAACTCGATTCGAGTCCAGAACTCACGTCCAAGTGCCAGCAGAGCATACCTAAACGTTGGAAATTATGAAAAAAAAAACCTATTTTTATTGTTTTAAATTATTTAGAAAGGCTAGAAGCTAGAACTCTTTCGTTTATAATAGATCTGTACCAGAACTCTAATATACAACTCGATTCGAGTCCAGAACTCACGTCCAAGTGCCAGCAGAGCATACCTAAACGTTGGAAATTATGAAAAAAAAATTATTTTTATTGTTTTAAATTATTTAGAAAGGCTAGAAGCTAGAACTCTTTCGTTTATAATAGATCTGTACCAGAACTCTAATATAGAACTCGATTCGAGTCCAGAACTCACGTCCAAGTGCCAGCAGAGCATACCTAAACGTTGGAAATTATGAAAAAAAAAATTATTTTTATTGTTTTAAATTATTTAGAAAGGCTAGAAGCTAGAACTCTTTCGTTTATAATAGATCTGTAACAAAACTCTACTATAGAAATCGATTCGAGTCCAGAACTCAAGTCCAAGTGCAAGCAGAGCATACCTAAACGTTGGAAATTATGAAAAAAAAAACCTATTTTTATTGTTTTAAATTATTTAGAAAGGCTAGAAGCTAGAACTCTTTCGTTTATAATAGATCTGTAATAGAACTCTAATATAGAACTCGATTCGAGTCCAGAACTCACGTCCAAGTGCCAGCAGAGCATACCTGAAGGTTGGAAAATATGAAAAAACAAACTATTTTCATTGTTTTAAATTATTTAGAAAGGCTAGAAGTTAGAACTCTTTCGTTTATAACAGATCTGTACCAGAACTCTAGTATAGAACTTGATTCGAGTCCAGAACTCACGTCCAAGTGCCAGCAGAGCATACCTAAACGTTGGAAATTATGAAAAAAAAAACCTATTTTTATTGTTTTAAATTATTTAGAAAGGCTAGAAGCTAGAACTCTTTCGTTTATAATAGATCTGTACCAGAACTTTAATATAGAACTCGATTCGAGTCCAGAACTCACGTCCAAGTGCCAGCAGAG